GAGCTCTGCCACACTCAGGCACCCCCAGTCTTTCTGTGACCCCGAGGGTCCTGAGACCACATTGTCCCAGCGAGCTTCCACCCCCAGCTTAGCCACTGGAGTGATGTCCCTCAGCAGAACTGACTTCTAAAAGTTCCAATTTTGTGCCCTGCTGCTCTATGACTTGCCAGAAGCAGCTGACAAAGGCCCCCTTCCCCACCATCTGTTCCAGTTTTAGAAAGATAACTTGTTTCTCACCCTTTGGGTAAGGTGGCCCCTAAGCTTTATCTGGTTTCCAGTGCTCCATGACAACAATCAAAACAGAAACTAAGGTTCCCAAGTTTATTTTAGACCCTCAGAATGAATGTCAGTTTCTGTGGTTGCTTTTCTCTTGGGAATCCCATTTTCACTGAATTGTGACATTCTGCCAAGTTTTTACCATCTTGTTGGTTTAGCAGTGTTTTCCCTAAGCTGGTATACATTATACAACAATATTATAAAAAGTTTTTTTGTTATTTTCCGTGGGACCTAATAGCAGGCTATTTTCCCTTCCTTAATTCCAGAAACAGAAACATAGTCCAATTTATATTGCTTTATTTTTTCAAGTAAACATATGTGCTTTTTTGCACACTTTCTATGATTTAAATATTTTTTTTAAAGATTTTATTTATTTATTTGAGAGAGAGAGAATGAGAGAGAGAGAAAGCACATGAGAGGGGGAGGGTCAGAGGGAGAAGCAGACTCCCTGACAAGCAGGGAGCCTGATGCGGGACTCGATCCAGGGACTCCAAGATCATGACCTGAGCCGAAGGCAGTCGCTTAACCAACTGAGCCACCCAGGCACCCCTATGATTTAAATATTTAATAATAAAATCTTAAAATAAATGTGACTAAATATTAAATTTTTAAAATTATGAGTGGTGCATATTACAACTTTACACAAGAATTTAAAAACTAATTTGGACTAACACATTCCCCAGCCCTTGATTGACTATGTAGAAAATAAATGATTTTCTCCGTGGCATTTTATATTAATTTTCCCCCAAAATGCTGTTCAACCCACTTCTTCATGCCCCTCACAAAACACACAAATGGCAATTACACTTAGAATAAAAACCAAACTTATAATGGGGTACACAAAGCTCCACATGATTTAACCTCTGCTTCTCTCTCTTCCACTTCTCAGGCTCCTCATCTCTATCATTCTGCTCTGATCAAATTGGCTTTTTTTTTTTTTGGTAATTGTTTTGTTTTGCCATTTTTTAAATTTGAGTGTAGTGCATAGACAATATTACATTAGTTTCAAGTATGGAAGCAACCTAAGTGTCCATCAGTAGATGAATGGATAAGGAAGAGGTGGTATGTATACACAATGGAATATTGCACAGCCATAAAAAAGGATGAGATTGTGCCATTTGAGATGGCATGGGTGGACCTGGAGGGTATTATGCTAAGTGAAGTAAGACTGAGAAAGATAAATACCATATGATTTCACTCATACCTGAAATCTAAAACAAACAAATGAATAAACAAAAAGCAGAATCAGCACACATGAAAATATGTTCATCATCGTTAGCCATCAGGGAAATTCAAATCAAAACCACATTGAGATACCACCTTATACCAGTTAGAATGGCAAAAATTGACAAGGCAAGAAACAACAAATGTTGGAGAGGTTGTGGAGAAAGGGGCACCCTCTTACACTGTTGGTGGGAGTGCAAGTTGGCACAGCCACTTTGGAAAACAGTGTGGAGGTGCCTCAAAAATTTAAAAATAGAGCTACCCTATGACCCAGCAATTGCACTCCTGGGTATTTACCCCAAAGACACAGATGTAGTGAAAAGAAGGGCCATATGCACCCCAATGTTCATAGTAGCAATGTCCGCAATAGCCAACCTGTGGAAAGAGCCGAGATGCCCTTCAACAGATGGATGGATAAAGAGGATGTGGTCCATATATACAATGCAATATTAGCCATCAGAAAAGATGAATACCCAACTTTTGCATCAACATGGATGGGACTGGAGGAGATTATTCTAAGTGAAATAAGTCAAGCAAAGAAAGTCAATTATCATATTGTTTCATTTATTTGTGGAACATAAGGAATAGCATGGAGGACATTAGGAGAAGGAAGGGAAAAATGAACGGGGGAAATCGGAGGCAGAGATGAACCACGAGAGACTATGGACTCTGAGAAACAAACTGAGGGTTCTAGAGGGGAGGGGGTTGGGGGAATGGGTTAGCCTGGTGATGGGTATTAAAGAGGGTACATACTGAATGGAGCACTGGGTGTTATACGCAAACAATGAATCATGGAACACTACATCAAAAACTAATGATGTACTGTATGGTGACTAACATAACATAATAATAATAATAATAAAGCAGAATCAGACGTATAAGTACAAACTGGCTTTCTTTAGAGTCATAGACTCTTCCAACTTCTGCAAGTTTGCAAGTAGTATCCCATTTGCCGAGAGTACTGTTATCCTTATGATTTCCCCACACAACTTCTAGTCACTCTGCAAGTTTCCACTCAGATGTCATTTTCCCCTTGAAGCCTGGAAAGTCCTTTTCAAGCTCAATTCTTTATTTTTCTGTGTTTTGTAGTAATTGGTGCTGTATTTTTACTGTGAGGAGTAATTCAATTTCTGCCAAACATCTCATGTACTGCATTGAAATAGTAGTGGCATTTTGAAATTTTGAGGGTATATTTGTTGATATTTCAACTTTTATTTTGAAAACTTTTAAATATAGCAAATGTAATGAACCCTCATATACCTTTCACCCAGCTTTAGATTTATTTAATTTTCAAAATTTTTGAGTTTGAAAAGTTCTAAAACCCTTTTTAGTGTAATATTTGTGCACATTTAATAAAATTGTAGTTTGAAGTTTAGTTTAGCCCTGGGTTTTATCAACAGTTTATTAAATATAAAAATGAATCTGTTCATTACTAGAAATTTTACAAAAATTAAAGAAAACATTCTTATAGAAGGTAAGTTCTTTAATTATTGGCCTTTGTTCCCCTGCAAGGTTATTTTTGTGTCAGGTCATAGATGGAAAAATAATTCAATAACTCTTGGCGGTATTTTCTTCAGGAAGTTTTCTCACAGAAAAAATTCAGAGAATGGCTTATTTTTTTTAAGATTTTATTTTTATTTATTTGAGATAGAGCAAGAGTGAGAGAGTGAGAGAGCATGAGCAGGGGGAAAGGAAGAGGGAGAATGCTGCTTCAAGGCTCATCCCAGGACCCTGCGATCATGACCTGAGCTGAAAGCAGACACTTAACCAACTGAGCCACCCTGGCGTCCCAAGAATGGCTTTTGTGTTTTTGAATTCTTTATATTTTTATAAATCATAAGCTTTTACACAATCCTCTGCATGCAGATGTATGTGTTTGGAGTTAAACAGTTTTCGGTATAACCTTTAAAACTTGATCCATAAACTGCACACGTTCCATTCTGCATTTCAACCATTGTTAATCTAGATTAGAAAGAAGGACAAATTATATTTGTGACTTTATTAATACATAAATATAAAAATACAATAAAATATATTTAAATATAGGTATTGAAATAATATCATTTCAGAAGGTTTTAGGACCATGCCTGGTCTTTCTTAGTTAAAGATATGCAAAATATAGCTAACTCAGTTATAAAAGCAGAAGTTTCATTCTATTATAAATTATATGCCATTATTTTTTTCTACATTGGAAGTTAGTCAATTTAGGAAGTCTGAAATCTCTTGATATATGTACCTGAGTGAAATGAAAGTTTTTAAATGTTTTTTTTTTCAGCAAATAGATTAGAAATGAATTTAGAATTCAATTTAGAAGTCAGCAGATGTCATGTTTTATGCAAAAATAAACAATCTTCTTTGGATATATGCAACTTTACTTGGTAAGGAAATAAAAATTGTAAAATTCTCTTATATATTAAATATGTCTGTGTATATATATATATATAAGTATATACACACATACATAAATATAAATATATATGTGTGTGTGTGTGTAGGCATTCATGTAGAGATAGTTATATCTGTGTATCTATTTTGCCTTGGAATCTGGTGATTTGTTTTCTTCCAGGAACAGATGGGAAATAGAAGGCCAAGGAAAGAGTGAGGATGCATCAGCATGAATATGAACAATAAAATAGTTTGTATTCAAAAGGACAAGAGAAGAAACTCAGTCCATAGAAACCACTAACTGCTCTTAGTTGGTCTCAGTCTATGCACATTAGAGTCTCATTTTTAAATCTCATTTTGTTTTTGTATTCCTTCAGTTTCTGTGTGTGTTTCTTATACCATTCATATTCCATGTCTGCCAGAGTGCTGATTATTCTGGATTGTACTTATTTGCTTATAACCATATCTCTAACTGAAGTGTGAAGCCCTTGAAGTTGTGTCCTATTAATCTCTGTCATTATCTCTGCATAGTTCCTGGAAATTGAGTAACACTCAACAAATATTTATCACATGCATAAACTGAAACTTAATTTGCCAATTGTTTTGCTTTTGCTTCTAAAACAAACATTTACACTTGCAGGGTGGAAAATATTGAGATAAGGTGATACAAATTTTATTAGTATTTCTAGAGAATAAACTTTTTTTATCAAAAATAAAATCTCAAGCCATACAGAAATGAGGTCATCCAAGATCAATTCTAAGGTATACTGGGACCTTCAAATTCCAAATATATAATGAGGTAGGAGGGTAAGTAGTACCTGTTACAATGAATATAAGGGGAAATATGAAAGAAACAGAAGGTTATGCATTGATTACTGCCAACTAACCATTAAAGAAGCAAAGTAAACTTCAAAATCAACGAGAAGAGATTCTTTTTAAAAAGATTGATTTATTTATTTGAGAGAGAGAGGGAGGGGGAGGGGCAGAGGGAGTGAATTTTCAAGCAGACTCCCCTCTGAGCATGGAGCCCAAGGCATGGCTCAATCCATGACCCATGAGATCATGACCTGAGCTGAAACTAAGAGTGGAATGCCTAACCAACTGAGCCACCCAGGTGCCTTGAGAAGAGATTTTTAAAAATCATTTAAAGATAATTCTGGCTGTAGAGTAAGAAAGACACACATTTGAATATCTACCAGAATGATTACTCATTTTATAGCTTAGGTGAATTATTTTACACTCTAAGACTCTGTTCCTAACCAGCAAGATTAGGTTAGAAATGACCCCTGTTATAGAGGTTTTTAAGAATCCTCAATGAGAAGGTATATATAAAGTGCTTAAAACTATGTCTGACAGAAAGCAGCTAATTAACCCGACATTAACATTAATGTTGTTGTGATGTTTTTATTATGTACTACAGAATTAGAGGTTCAAATAAGTAAAATATACTTGAAATAAAGAATTAAAAACTTTTACAGTTATATATAAGAAAAAGCACGGGGCACCTGGGTGGCTCAGTTGGTTAAGCGACTGCCTTCGGCTCAGGTCATGATCCTGGAGTCCCTGGATCGAGTCCCGCATCGGGCTCCCTGCTCGGCAGGGAGTCTGCTTCTCCCTCTGACCCTCCCCCCTCTCATGTGCTCTCTCTCTCATTCTCTCTCTGTCAAATAAATAAATAAAATCTTAAACAAAAAAAAAAAGAATCTTTCTTGAGAAAAAGCACCAGTGAACTTCATCCCAATTTTAATTTGCTTAATGTATTTGTGATTGTAGTGTGTCTGAGGGAGGGGAAAGAGAAATGGGGGAGGGACATTTGAAGAAATGATGGTAGTAAATTTTCTAATTTTATTTGAAAATTATAAACTCATAGATCCAAGAGTCTCAACAAAACACAAGCACAAGAAATAAAAAAATAAAAAAATAAGAAACCCAAAAGTAATCCAAGGCATATTACAACCATTTCTCAAATCCAATTATAAAAACCAAATGGGATTTATTCCTGGGCTGCAAGGTTGGTTCAACATCCTCAAATCAATCAATGTGATACAATACATTAATAAAAGAAAGAACAAGAACCATATGATCCTCTCAATAGATGCACAAAAAGCATTTGACAAAGTACAGCATCCTTTCTTGATTAAAACTCTTCACAGGGTAGGGATGGAAGGTACATACCTCAATATCATAAAAGCCATCTATGAAAAACCCACAGAAAATATCATTCTCAATGGGGAAAAACTGAGAGCTTTTCCCCTAAGGTCAGGAACATGGCAAGGATGTCCACTATCACCACTGTTATTCAACATAGTAGTAGAAGTCCTAGCCACAGCAATCAGACAACAAAAAGAAATAAAAGGCATCTGAATCAGCAAAGAAGAAGTCAAATTCTCACTCTTTGCACATGATATGATACTTTATGTGATAAACCCAAAAGACTCCACCAAAACTGCTAAAACTCATACAGGAATTCAATAAAGTGGCAGGATATAAAATCAATGCACAGAAATCAGTGGCATTCCTATACACCAACAACAAGACAAGAAAGAGAAATTAAGGAGTCGATCCCATTTACAACTGCACCAAAAGCCATAAGGTATCTAGGAATAAGCCTAACTGAAGAGGTAAAGGTTCTGTACTCTGAAAACTATAGAACACTTATGAAAGAAATTGAGGAAGACACAAAGAAATGGAAAAA